GTGTATTTCATTACCTTGTACGCTACACAATAGTCAGCAAATTTAATAAGCAAATAAAACAGGAAAGACGCATTTGTTAGACGCATTTTCCTTTTTACAAACCACATTTTTCTACTCTACATGTGTTTTTTATCCCTCTTAGCTTTTTCAGAATTAGGTAACCGCTTGCACTCGTTATGATTTAGAATTCCGAGCAACTCATAAACGTTACACAAAGAAGAATTTTTCTCACGTATATTGAAAAACAACTCAAATACTTTATCTGGTTTGCCATTCTGAACCCATCTTGCATCCCAATGAGGCTAGAATATGTGAAATGTCCTCTGATGTGTTCCATCTAGAGACATGAATCAAGCCTATCTAGATAGGACACATCCCCTGTGTAAGAGAATTCTTCCGGAATTAATTCATAATGTCTGCACGCCGGGAAACAAATGGAAATTAGCTCAGAATTTGACTAAATTACATGTGGCTTAAATTTCAACAATATAGACTTAAGATATGAAAACTACACAGCACTAAGAAGTAAATTATAGTACCGTGAATTGCAACGTATTTTTAATGTTTGCCTAACGTTCCTGTATTTTTATTAGACAGCAATATTTATGACATTAATTGCTTCATTACTCCAGCTGTAGCAAACCCCCCCCCCCCCACTCTGGATGCGTTATTTAGTATACATTAGGAAACATTCCTAAAAAACAAAACGCTAAATGAAATAGTTTTAAATGGGAGTGTTTTAACACTTCATAAATAAATATACTGTGGCCGATTACTAGTTTTGTTTTTGCAATTATTACAGTTAAACCCCCTTTAAGATTAGCATACACGGTTCCAGACGAATTCGATCTTCTGTGAAGTGACTCTGACTGCCGTACCAATGGGCTCGGGTTCGAATCTCGGAGAAGCCACGGATGTTTGCAAGCGTAGTGTCTCTGCGTCAAAGAGGCGCTCAAAACACACGAGAACCGAAAGTCCTTTCGAGAGGTTGGTAGTAGAGGCAAGGAGTGGCAGACCTTCGGACCGCCCCGGGGTGGTCCGAAGCCCTCAAGCTGAAGCTTGGGTGGAAGCTTAATAGTTCAAATACCTCAATTACTTGTTGTACTACTATACATAGGTCTAGCTTCTACCATTACCTGTGAAGGCAGTGTGGCCTCCCTCACCGATATTTTGGTTAGCGATGTTAGCTGTCGTACGGATAGGCCTGGACTCAGTCCCGGAAAAGGTTTGCAAGTTTATAGTATCTTACAGCTTGGAAGTGTATGGTGTGTGTGGTTTCCCATGCCTCGCAGATGTTATACACCCCATGCTTCACAGACACTATACTGGTGAGCCGTAAGTCTCTCGAGTGATTTGGTGCTCCGGAAGAAAAGTGGGAGCTCCTCGAATGATTCCCCGGGGGGGGATTTTCATCAACATTTATCCTTCAGTCACTGAGTGGCGAAGTTCCTGAACACTGATTATTGGACCTCGGTTCGATTACACGAGAAAGGCTTGTAGAGACATTAGGATTATTTGGAAAAGCCGGAGAGATCAAGAATTAGCAACGCCTTCGCCTGGAATCGAACCACGGACCTCTGGAATACCGGCCCAGCATGCAGAACCACTACACCACGAAGTCACGCTAGGAAAGCGGGAGAAATACCTTATAGACTGGCTGCACGAGTGTTTCCGTCGTTTCCGTGGCTGCCTGAGCGTTTTCCTCATGTGTAACGTCGATACGAGCCAGTTTCCTTACAGTCCTCTATGAAAGGTTCACTTAGGAACATAACCTTTGCGTGCTTTTCGTTAATAAAATAAATCAAACCAAATCATTAAAATAAGTGAGATGATACTATACCTGTACGAATAATAGTGAAATTCGGGTGTTCTACTTGCTTCTAACTCTACCTTGGAGAAAAGTTGGATTGGTATTAATGTCTTAATAATGTATAATTCCTGCAAAAGGCTTCATGGACATCTAATTCAACAATTGAAAAAGCTTTGAGGATAACTTCTAAGGATTATAAGTCAACGTGATGATTAACAAAACAAAATATGATTAGCTATCAAAGATTTGTATGGCTGTGTTATGAGACAGACTTCTCAAAATCGTCTGATTTCTCGCTTTGGCGATTTTTAACTTCCGTGTTCTTTCATGGAATTGACATCTCTGGACTACTTTCTCTTGGGTTACCTGAAAACGAGAGTCTTTGTGCATCGTTTGCAGATGACTGAAAAACTAGTTTGGTTCGATTATTTATTACGGCAAAGCATACTAGGGCTATTTGCTTAAGGGAAGGGATGCCTTCGTGGAAGATTTTCTAAGGGTAACCGGCTCGTATACACGTTACGCATGAGGGAAACCACGAAAACGCTAATGCAGCTAGCTCATTCACCTAGAATCGAAAACCAGGTCACAACTACCAGTGTTCAACGATTGTACCTCTTGGCCTTTGGTGAGCCAACTGGAGAATTGAAAAAACTGCCGTCAGTCTTGAAATACTCGCTATTCCACAGGACATGTTTAGATGTATCATGGAAAGCCTTTCTGCATTACTGCTAAACAATGTGGACCAAGGAAAGGAGGATATTTAGAGGATGTTATTTTCAAGGTGTGACTGGATCTGTATTATCATATTTAGAAATAATATAATTTTTCTGTATTTATTTTTTTTAATATGTAAGGTCTTTTAACGAATATTTTGGTAAACGAAACTACAGAACGAGAGAAAGGAGTCTAATGATCATGTTACATAGAATAGTAACACTGTTTAAATGCTAAATAAACCACATAGGTAATTACCGTACATAAAAAGAAATAACTACCGCTAATTATAATAACCACATCTAGCTCAGTTATCACTGTTGCTGTTCTTTCAAACTACTGTTATTTCAAGGAAATTCTGAAGGAAAAGAGGAAAACGAATATTCTCTTTCCCATAATTACTGCAAGACAAAATAATTATTCACCTGCATCTTTATTTATTAAAACTGAAGGACGATCTTAATAAAGTAAAAAGAATGATGTTGTACTTATGGGGATTTTATTTTGGAGTAAATACAGTACATTGCATTAAATGTCTACGTATATACTGTTATTTGATAATCATGTGAAATTATCACAAACATTCATGTCTCATTTTCTGTAAAATGGAAATGATGGGAGAACAAATTTCAATTAGCAAAAGTAGCAAATGTGAATCTTTTAGAAGCAACAAATATAAACAAATTCTTTTCTGTGTACTTAACGTACAAAATAACACAACAGTTTAATATTGCTAACTCATAAACATTCTTAGGTATTAAAGCAAAACTATAACAGTACTTGATAAAAGAAGCAATAAATTATTTTTTGTCTTGTAGAGCAGTAATATCTAAAACATTGTTGCATCAGTATAATGATTTATTTTGGAGTATTTATTGTATTAATTTATTGTAAGAATTTCGTTTTTAAACAGAAAATAAAACTTTAATTAAAAAACTGCATGTAACTAAATGTAAAGTGCAGTTTTCAACGTTATGCTCAGCTTCTAAATGTTCAATTTTATTAGCTAAGCAGAAAATCGGAAGTCGGAAAGAAAACATTTATTAACTAATCTAATAATTAATGAAGGAAGTTTCTTAATTTAATTACCCTTCTGATGAATGCTGAAGGATTTTTAAGTGGTTTGATTGAGGAAATTAAGTTACTTAATCAGGAGAGTAATTCTTTTTATTTGTTTGTATTATGTAAAACGCTTTATGTCCATGCTTATTCAACAGTACCTTTAATAGTGATTTTTTTTTTTTTCATTTCTAGCATAAACTTTAATGCTTTTTAAAATATCGGCTCTGAAAAGCTGATATTCTAATTAGTATCCTGACGTCTGTTTTATATGTAGTTTAAATTCATTTAAAAACCAATAATTTAAATTTGAAATTAAATAATAAATTTTATTTCTTTAATAAAATTTCTTTATCTGAAATATTTTATTTTCACGCTGTTGTGTGTAGAATGAGATGATATTTATAGGTCTAAACATCGAAAAATAAATAATTTCGTAATTTTTGAATTTTTTGAAAGAAAGCAAGATAGTGTGAGCGAAACTAGGAACATATGGAAAAACCTTTCAGTGAATATTAAGCAAAAAATGAGATATTTCATATCTCGGAGAATATCTGTTAATGCTTCTATTTTGTTGTTGTTTTGAGCCCAAACATATTAATTTTCAGTATATAACATACAATATTTCACTTCTACATTTTTATATTGAAAGTTATAAGCTATAGCAGGGGTTCCCAACCCTATGTCCAAGGACATCATGGCGCCCGCCGATCGTTTAACATGTGCCCGCCGCTGTGCAATCACAATAAAAGTGTTTTAGTATTCAATAAAATTCTGCCTGGGCGGTTTTTCATTTTTAATGAAATATAAGTTCCATCCAAATCAGTGTAGAGACATTGTTTTATTTCGAAGCTGAGAGATGTGAAAAATGAGCCCTCGCCGGGACTCGAACCTCTCGAATACGCGCCGAGAGTGCAGACCACTACACCACGAAGGCATGCTCAGAAGGCGGAAGAAATACCTTATAACAGATACCAACACAAAGCTAAATGCGACCGATCTCTTTTTTGTGTGCAAGTATTATTACCTAAGTATTCAACTATAAATTCACCTTGAAAAAGTAAATGGTGCTCGCCGTCCAACAGATATTCTAAAATGTCCCCTCAGTGACAAAAGAATTGGGAAACCTTGCGTTACTACATATAATAGTTCGCAGGAAGTATATTTAAAAAAAAAAATAATTATTACAAAGCATTATAATTACGAGAAGTATATAAAATTGTGATAGCTTTTAAACTAATGATATCTAAATGTAGCATATATAACAATGCATTTCAATCAAAACATTTTGATATTTTATAGATAACTTTTGACAACAAACTGAGATTATACTAAGGATTATTTTGAAATAGTTACGTAATTATTTTTCTTTTATTAAGTACTTCATTTCGTTAATTATCTCAATTTATTGCAGGTATGCTTATAGCGACGGCTTGCGACTGCAAAGTATCGAAGATGCCATGATGACTGCTTTTGCGGCCAAAAAATATGCCTTGCCACATCTGTTAGAACAATGTCTCTCTTATTTGGAGGCCAATGTGAATGCCAAGAATGTATGCCAGATTTACGAATTTGCCCAATCTGTGGATGCACCATTACTTATATTTCTTTGTTTGAACATCATGGACAGGCAAACTTTTCATGTCCTTACATCTCCCAGTTTTCCTATGGTACTGCCTAGTACAGCGGAACTCATTGCTAGCAGAAATTACTTGAATCTGTATTCAGAGTTCACAGTATATACTTCTCTTGTGCAATGGGGAGAGGAAGAATGTAAACGGAGGAAGATACCGGATGATGCAGAAAATATTAGACAAGTTCTGGAAAATCACTTGCCGTATATACGTTTCTTGGCAATGTCAGCTGAAGAATTTGCCAAGGGACCTGCCAAAGGTGGTTTGCTTACCTTAGATGAATGTTTCAACATCTTTATGAATTTGGCAATACCTGACTGCGTTCCAGTGCCACCAGGGTTGTCTCCAGAATACAATAAAAGATCCGCTCCTCCAGAATATTTCATTTGTACTAGATACAGAGGTCTTTCATACTCACCACCTGGCAGGCCATTGCGAGTTTTTGGGATACGCTTCTCAACTGTCGAAAAGAACATTTTTTTGGTAGGTGCTGCTTTCCCAGTTAGACTGGACAATAACTATTACGCCGTGAGACAACCAAAGTACACAGGCGTAGTTAGAATAGCCCGAAGAATGCTGGATGGGAAAATTGAACGTCAGGAATCAGAAGTTACCTTTCAGTTATCAAAAGGAAAGGACACAGCATTCACTTTAAGAAAGCCGTACTATGTACGACGAGGTGAGAAATATGAAGTTGAACTTCAGGCTCATGCTTTAATTTCTGATGACGTTATTGTACCATTACTGAGGAACAAAAAAAGGGAAGACACTGTGGAAGGGGTTACATTTCAGTACATTCCATTCACTAGGGTAAAACTGTCCAGCATTTTAGACATCACAGAATTTTCGGAGTTGCATTTTTACTGCTGAAGAGCAAGCATGCAGTTGTGCCTTGCCTATTTTAAAAATAACAACTAAACGACTACATTATTTCATCAATGAATATATGATCTAATATTAGGTCTTTCAAATGTGATCCTTGAAAAAGGTTCATGTACCCTCTGAAACATGAAGTTCGCAAACAGTCCATCATAGCACATTTGTTATTTTTGGATTTGTTAGCTGAATAACTTCCTACATGTGTTCACTAAGGAACTTTATATATGTGTTCACGATGAAAAGAATCAATAATTTCAGAAATGAGAAGGAATGGGGAGAAAACATTCTTGTGCTTTTCAAAGTATGAAAGTAGTTATGTAGTAATCCACATAAATCATAATTCGAGATCTTATACAACTTTCATTCCTGTCAGTCATTTAATTGCAAATGTATTTAATATAACAGCAGGCAAAGAAATGTTAAATGATAGAAGGATTGGAAAGAAAGAATGAAACTGAATATATTAAAATTATTTATTATTCGCCATAGAATTAAACTCTGCACCATAGTAATATGTCTGCTTTCATAAAATGAATGCATTTGAAGAGCTCTTTGCACTGCCTTAATAATAACCTATTTTGAAAATATAACTATTTTTAAAATTGTAGTTGGTTCTCAAGTTTCCAATCAAATTGTTGACTGCATTCTCATGTCTAACCGTTTCATTGCTGAAAACTGTTGTCATTGACATTTGTTTGAACGTTAAATGTGAATAATTCTATGTCATTTATAAATATTGTATTTAAATCATCAAATTAAGTGATGATTAAAGTATATTATGTTACTGTTGTTTATTCAGAATATCGTGTTTCTTTTTATTTTAATTACTTACATACAGAAAATTTAAACATTTGAGTTGCATGACAATACAGCAAATACTCATGCAACAAGACGAATATAGTGAGCCATCTCATGATGACTACTTTTCTGTAACGATTGCTTTTTAAAGCGACAGTGTTTTCTTGAACTTCAACTTTTTGAAGCAATCACTTACTTAAAATCAAAATCGTGTGTAATTCTGGGTGTTTATCTTAGAATAGGTTCACGGTACGTAGATAGTTACAATCCTGAAAATTCTAATGCGAAATTAATTTTGAATGGATTAGTAATTATGCAAGTTATTTTGAATCCAGAGTTATTTGCTTATGACGACGCAGTCCAGATATGTTATTAATTTTTTTAATCCATTTTAGAATCCGCTTGAAAGAATTTCCGACAATTTCACTGTGTGCTTTTACCCATAGCAATTTAACAATATGTTTTCTTTCAGCCTTTTTAAACAAGCCTTTTATTTCATTAATTAGTGGATTTTTATGATCTGGTTGGGCGAGTACCTGAAGCGCAGATAGGGCATCAGTATAAATATTTATAAAACGTCGAATTGTTAATTTTTTATTAATCCAATTCAAAGCCTCTGTCAATGCGTATAGCTCTGTTTAATAAACTGAATTCATTGGTTTAAGTTTCATTCTCACATTGTCTCTATCTCCACTCCATGAAAATAAATTACCACAGCCCTACCCACTCCCCCATCCCTTCCAGAACCATCTGTAAAAACGTCTATTTCGTCAACAGACGGAAACTCGAGATCATAAAATAATAATCCAAATCGTGTCATTGGTTGAATAATATCCTCATTCTCTTGTTGAAAGGCCTTACTTGTGAGTACTTTTTGTTCAATTTCAGTATCTATAATAGCTTTATTAGCTAATAGAAACATTTTGTAGTAAAATTTGTATAGAATCGAAAGGGGCGGAACACCTGCAAGGACGCAGGCAACTTCAGTTGAAACGGGTCTGAAGGCTCTTGTAATGGCAAGCATCCAGCCTCTATGCAGGGTGTTCAATTTTATTCTAATCCTAAGTACCTCCTCTTCCCGGCAGCCCCAAGCTCCGACTCCATAAAATATTCTAGGGATGATCACATTTCTAAATATCTCTTTCAGGGTGAAACTCTTTCTCTTCAAAGTATCAGCACTAAAATTATACTTATAACATTTCAAAATGTTATCTGTGATTCTATGTATATGCTTAAATTGTTCCGCAAAACTCAATTTTCTATCAATAATAATTCCCAGATATTTCATATTTTCACCAAATTTGATACGATTACCCTTAAATTTCAATTGGGGGGGGTCTACTCTTTCTACCATCCCGACGGAAAAAAAGTTCACAGCACTATTAAAATATATTTTATCTCTGTCACTCCATTCTTTCAAATCATTTTCTATTTTTTTAAATACTCTCCATTTTTTCAAGAGAGTCTCCCTCCACCATAACCAATATATCGTCGGCATAACAGACAATCTCACAGTTCGAAATATTGACTTTCTGCGGTAAGTCATTAACAATGAGACCCCAGAAAAGAATGGCATTGCAAGAGCCTTGAGGGCATCCTTTGTAAATGTCAAAAACCAGGTTCAGATTATCAGATGGGCCCTTAAAAATCATCTTTCGCCTTTTAAAGTAACTTTTATAATTTCATACATATTCTTAGTAACTCCAATACTCTTTAAGTGTCGCATCAGGGAGATCCACCTTACATTATCGAAGGCACCCCTGGCTTCAAATGAAACCAGAGCCACATGCTTAGTCTTTCTTTTCTCGCTAATGCCAGATATGACTCTATAAAGATCCAATTCGGTTGACCTTCCCTTTCTAAAACCAATTTGCTTTTCAGAAATAATATTATTCTTATTTAAACTATACTGCAGTCTATTCACTAAAAGTTTATCATAAACCTTTGCAAATGTTTGCAGTAGGTAAATTGAACGAAATCCTCCTTTATCCTTTGGAATCAAGATTAATTTTCAAATTTTTCATACACCTGGAAAATAATAACAGAACTGTCTGGAAAAGCTAACAAATGACCAGGCTGAAAGAGAAAAAAAGTCTATAACTGACGGTTCTCATTTGATGGACGGTTGGTTCAATAGCCAAGCAGCAAGGTTCTCTAACAAAAGCATGCATCAGCTCTAAACGCGTTATTACGAATATTTTGATCGGTATTGCAAATGTATGAGGAAATTACAGTAGAATTTTTATGTGTTAAAATTTTTCGTCTTTTCTATTTTTATTTCGTATTTCTTCAGAATTTAATTAAACTTTTATAGTATAAGAGGAGTTTGGCTTAAGTTGTCGAACCATAATTTTTCTGTATCATTTTTCATTTGATGCATTCCGATTATGTATTGTACAACAATTCGAAAAATTATACGGCCTAATACTCGTATAATGACTTACTATAGTTGCTTACTGAACACTTCAAGGCCATTGTTTTCCTGAACCATGACCACGGTAACATCCATGGTAACCATGACAGCAACTGCGGAATCATCTAATCTTTTAACATCTTTTAGTTCCCTCTGTGCGATGATGACGAAAGACGCTACAATCTTAAATGGGTCGAGGTTCACTACAACCTTGAAGTGCCTATATAATAGACTACAGTAACAGTAAAGTATAGTATATGTGTTCGATTCAAACTCAGTAGCATTCCACTTTCTGATAACTTTGCTAATAACTCTTGTATTTTTTTAGCTGCTCGCACAGTACAAAGATAAATATGCGTCTTGTGTATTTATTATTTAACACAGTAGCGACTAAAAAGGGATCTAATACTCTGATAATAATCGACGATCCCAGGTAAATTAAATTTTACTTGTTGAAGTAAATAAATATCACTTACGTTTTAAGGAAAACCTTCGTGTTCTTCACTTAATGTACTGAAATATAATAAAACATCAATATTTTTAAAAGTTCAAAATTTCTGAAACTGCGTTGATAAAATTTCCAAACTTTAATTACAAATGTCAGTTAAAAAACTTTAATTCTCTGGGTCTCAGTCCTTGAAAACCATTAATTTCAGTATTGCCTGCAAATGTGATTTTAAAACAGCATACACAGACTTAATCCTACGATAAAGCAAACGTAAAAATCTATTTCCCAATAATAAGATACGATCTGGGAAAGTGAAAACCTTCAGTTAATTAAGTTTGACTTGTTTTTGAAACATAAACTAACATCAAACTCTAAAAGACTTGGGAATGAATTATCGCTGTGTCTAAAAGCAGCGATAGAGTCTTGGAGGAAAGTTAAAATAACCTTTTATTTTATTAAATCAGAACCTTAACATAAATGTGCGTTTCGTGCTTAACAAAACAACCAACACTTGTGACGACGAAACTTAAAGTAACAGTTAAATTCATATTTAAACCTAATATTTAATTCACACTTGCAATTCTAATTTGGCCTTGCAGAAACACGCACTGTCTTACAATCCGAGACCATCGATTTAAATACTGGCTAATTAATTTGCATTTCTAGTGAGGAAACGGAAAAGGAGAAGTTAAAGGTCTAAATTATAATAATTAGTTAATTAAAAGGATAATAACCATAGAAGATCATAATTTTGCTTCTGTGGATCTGGTTGAGTCATTTCTAATAGAGTTCCTTCTTAAACTGCACAATCTAAACCAATCAATAAAAAGAACTGAAACATCAGCTTCGTCCCTTTTCCACTCATGCGATGACCCGTCAGCTATAAAAATTGTTCTAAATGATAGTTTAAGGCACCTGCTTACAACGGGTTTCCCACTGTGAGGTTTTTGAAAATCTGCAATTACGCAAATTAATGTCTCCTACTTCTAATTTCTGGAACTGCTGTACACTCGGAAGTTAATTGACAAATTCTCCACGTCGGTACTTTGACAAGTTACCCGCATTTTAATGCTGTGTCTGCCATATTTGACCTACTAGCCTTTACACGAATTAAAAAAATGTAAACTTCCTGCATTTTACTGTCTTTATGACAATTAAAAATGGTTTAAAGTCATATCGCCATATTTTACAGTAAAATCAGGCTTTAATCCTACCAGAAAGGAAGGTATTTGCTTTTTTAATTGGATAAGTGAAATGCTAAATATTTTGATTCGGTATGTAAAAGTTTGAGGCAAAGATAAGCATAACTGAACATATAATTAGTAAAATGTTCTTTTATTTTAGAAGTTTAAGAAGCACAAAATTATATATATGTATTCACATCATATGATATTCATTTACTTCCGTTGTTATTTTTAACATATAGCTAACACTGGAGAACAAAAATAGCACAGAGTGAGTAAATTTGTCTTCGTACCTTCACATATGCTGATTTAGGCCTGAATTCGGATTTTCGCATTTCCCACATTATTCATCGTCAAAAAGCTTCCACAAAATTTCGCAAAACTTACGACATTCACCAAAAGTGATAATAATTTGGATAATGTGCCTTGAAATTCATACAAAAATCTAAGAACTACAGGACTAAATACTGATTCCATGCAGACTGTCAGATGATTTATCAGGTAATCTTAGTGAAACAGCTATAACTCAGGTGAAGATTTAAATGAAACCTTTTTATTATAGCTTTAACTTAACAGATCGTGCACAGATCTTTAAAAGAAATCAGTCACCAAGGCTTACAAGATTTAAGCTAACATACCATATCCAAGCAACTAAGGTTTGAAAGCTTTAATAAGCTGTATTAAAGCTCGATTAAAGCTTTGTCTCAGGCTTCTAAAAACACGAAATAAACACGGTTAGAAAAAGGCTAAAGACAATTTAGGTAATTCTAAGAGCTGGGACGAAAAAAAAAGGCAAAAAGGTCAGTATCGCTTCCAAATGCTCACACCCTAACTTAACGAATTCTGTTTATAACTAACTTACATCCTAGAGCATTCAACGAAAGAGGAAGTGATAATAATGACAGAATAATAAGAGAAGGGTTAATTAAAATAAAACCCTACAAGTAATCA